TGTGGTGAATGGAGTTAAAAATTGAGTCGGCAGCCGGTCACAAGTGGTGTTCCCCAGGGCTCAGTACTGGGGCCAGTTCCGTTTAATATCTTTATCAATGATCTGTGCAAGGAGATCAAGTGCACCCTCAGTAAGTTTGCAGATGACACCAAGCTGTGTGGGAGCGTTGATCTGCTTGAGGTAAAGAAGGCTCTATAGAGGGATCTGGACAGGCTGGACTTTTTATGAGGTTCAACAAGGCTGACTGTCAGGTCCTGCACTTGGGTCACCACAACCCCATGAAATGCTACAGGCTTGGGAAGAGTGGCTGGAAAGCTGTTCAGTGGAAAAGGACCTGGTGGTATTAATCGACAGCTGGCTGAACATCAGCCAGCAGTGCGCCCAGGGAACCAAGAAGGCCAACAGTATCCTGGCTTGCATCAGAAATAGTGTGGCCAGCAGGACAAGGGAAGTGATCGTCCCCCTGTACCTGGCACTGGTGAGTTTTGGGCCCCTCACTACAAGAAAGACACTGAGGTGCTGGAGTATGTCCAAAGAAGGGCTGTCCAAAGAAGGGCTGCAAAGCTGGCAAAGGGTCTAGAGCACAAGTCTTAGGAGTGGCTGAGAGAACTGGAGTAGTTTAGCCCAGAGAAAAGGAGGTTGAGGTGAGACCTTATCTCTCTCTACAACCACCTGAAAGGAGGTTGTAGCGAGGTGGGTGTCAGTCTCTTCTCCCAAGTAACAAGTGATAGGACAAGAGAAAATGGCCTCAGGTTGCACCAGGGGAGGTTTAGTTTGAGTATTAGGAATATTTTCTTCACTGAGAGGGTTGTCAGGCATTGGACCAGGCTGCCCAGGGAAGTGGTGGAGCCACCATCCCTGGAGGTATTTAAAAGACGTGTAGATGTGGTGCTTAGGGACATGGTTAAGTGGTGGACTTGGCAGTGTTAGGTTTACAGTTGGACTTGATCTTCCAACCTAAACAATTTATGATTCTGCGATTCCTATCCATAGATTTCATATTCCTCTCAATGATACTAAACACCTTAGCTCTCATGTCCTCAGACCCTATCAAAGTTCCTGTTTTAGAGGAAAAACGAAGAGAAGACCAAGACCCTGACAGAAGCGAAGCTGTTTTAGAAACCTGGTGTGCACTAATGCCAACACAGCAGCAGCTCCAGTCATGTCAGTAAGGTTATACCAAGCGTACGAACCGCAGCACATCTGGGGGAGCTGCTGCTCTGACCCACAATGCCCACAAGACTAAGCCAGGCATGTGAGTATTGTTGCGCACTGCCTGTTTATCACAGCTGTTTGTTAGGCAAGGAAAGGTGTGCCACTATTTTAATTTAAAACAGCATCTATACACTTCCACATTAACATTCACTTCTGCCATGGCAAGATGCAGGGTTAAAATGCGGATAAAGCCAGCTGAAAGATCCAGAACATTCAATCCAGTTTACGGGCACACTCTGTGAACACTTACCTACACAATGAAGGATAGAAAGTCAGGTGAAATTATTCTCCCATTCTTTCATCCAGCTTCCACAGCTGGATACATAGGAAGTTCTGCATTTTACCAACTTCTCATGTGACACATTGGAGAAGACAAAGGAGCCATTAAACACATGCTTCAAGCCGAGCATATCGGTCATATTTACTGTCCAAAATACCAAAAAGAATATTAATAAAATTAAACACAAACAAGACTATGCCTCTTACCAGCTCTACACATTACTGCAAGCCTAGTTCTAGGCTGTCAAATCGTCGCTGCATTCCACAGGGGTGCCGAGGAACTGGGAGCTAATGATCAAAGGCCACCTTGCCTCTAACCACCGTGATGAATAAAGCAGAGTTAAGGAGTTTCAGACTGAGCTATAAAGGTTCTGGCCAGTTTGGGACATACAGAGTCCCAAGGAGTTCGACTTTTTGCTACCTTTGACAAAATGGGAACCCCATCTCTGTGCAAGCTTATCCCCCAACCCATGCGTCGTGACAGGCTCTGTTACCTATAGGTACATCTATCAGGTACTGTACAATTTGATCACAGTTTGACCATGAATAAAAATACTTCACTCATTCAGAATATTTAGTGCAATGCTTCTGTTTTTACAGGTCTTAGGCCCCCTGCCATAATGCCACCTCAATGAGCACAGGTGACAAGGACAGACAGTATTACACCGAAAGCTTTAGAGTCAACAGAGCAAAGTTCGTCTTCAGGAAAAGGGGCGAGAGACATTTCATTCCAGAGTCACTTAGCATCCAAGCCTCAGTCTGCTTTGCAGACATGCTTAACATTAATTTCTTCTGTAGCAAATAGGACAACTGTACAGATTAATTCCAGGAGACAAAAAAGAGCAAATCAAAGCTCTAAAAGTAGCTAACATGGAAAAGAGCAAGAACTGAACCAGGGATACATAGAATAATCTCTCTTGTTATGATGGTAAATGAAGTGTACTCTCGACCATTTAAAATAAACTTGTCTACAAGGAAAGTATGTGCCTGTATCTTCAAATAAAACTCAAAACTTACTTTTAAAATTTAAACTTCTAAAGAATTAAACTGCATGTTTATTATGTCTTGTTACTGCATTTAACTGCATGTTAATGCAAAGAAACCAAACAGTAATAATTACACCCGTATGAGCCATCTTACTGTTGAAATTTTAACAAAATTATAAAGAAATTTTAAGTGGAAATTAAGAAAGGAAGAAAAAAGATAAGGTATAGCAGAACTCTACTATGGACTGTAAAAGAAATCTCACTAATGTACACAAAGGCATAAGCATCAAACTCACCTTAAGCAGTGTCACAGTAATGTCTTGTTCTCTCTGACCAGAGTTTTCACATTCTCCATCTTTAAATCCTCAGTATCATGAATTCATTGTTCAACGGTAAAGGGTACATTTCCAAAAGGTGACTTCAGCAAAGTCCCTTCCTGAATAATTAGTGTCTTCAAAATTCTGTTAACCTTAAAATGCAAACTATACCATTTGTTACTGAAGATAACCATCACCACCAGTTATTCTTTGAGCACACTCTTGACCACTATAGCTTGTAAAAACCCCACCCTTAAACACATAATTATACAGCCATTCATGTTACATTCAGGATCAGCACTTCCAAAAGCCACCAGAGGTAGAAAGCTTCGGCTGATGCACAGCAACAGTACAATCACAATGCTAAGGACAAAGATCTCCTGTCATGGATAGCAACATCAATATCTCCATAAGCTTCACAGGGAACAAGAACTTGAACTCATTTCTCCCTGAAAAGCACATGGCAAAGCATTAACATGTAATTACCACAACATTCATGCTATTAAAGAATAAGATATGCATAAAAAACCCTTCATACTGATACACGGAAGAGTGAATGACATTGAGGAAGATGTTTCTGATGACTTAAGACACAATCCAAACCACAGACTCTCATCCAACCTGTATTTAGTATTGTTCTATGGCTAAACAACAATTACATTTCTATTGAAGTTTTGCATATACTGTACAGAGACACACAGGTGTTTTAATAACCACCAGCAAAGACATTTTTAGAATGGCTGATGGCCTAGCTGTTTTCTTTTGGGGCTAAATTGTTGATGAACAATGGCAGGAAAGTCACTCAGCCACCTCCTCTCTGATGACTTAAGAGCATATGTGTGTGTGAGTACGTGTGTGTGTGTGTGTGTGTTGTGGGTATGCAGTAAACTCAAGTAAAGTTGCTTAAAAAAAAAGCTTCAGAGTAGTCAAGCTAAAAGTATCACCCCAATTTCAGTTCCTCTCTTTAGAAGAAATATCTTACTACTGAACAATAGCCAGGATTTGTATGTTAACAGGCTAGAAAAGGGCGAAATTTGGGACACATTATGAAAAAATACTAATTGCATTGCTACGTTACACCATCACCACATACATGTTTAATACAGATAATCAAGAAATGCCCTGGCAGTATCTTAATACTCTACAACCAAGTTTTTCTTTTTGTTTCAACTCCAGCTCTACATATGAGGAAGCCCATCCCAACTGTATTTTTCATTATCTATGGATGAAAGCAATGTGAAGCAAGAAAAAAATACTGTTCCGAATTAAAACAGCAGAGAAACCATGTAATATGTGCACTGGAATGTCAGAGATATGGTTTAATAAAAACTCTGCAGTACAATGCACACTTGAAACAATTTCTAACTATGAGCATAATGATGCCACTAAACTGCAATTTTTAATCTATTTTTGCAGCATACTGACAAGAAGAAAAGAGTTCCAGGGTAAGAACTAAAAATTTCATTACAGTAACAATTTTTTATTGCATGTTTAAAATGCATTTTTCAAAACAAATAGTGCACTCTGGCTTTGCTTTAATCGCCTGAAATATGCACTTATGATGAGAAGCCCTGGGGCTACAGATCGATCTATGATGTTTATTAACAAAATATAATCCCAGTATGTTTCCCCAGGGGACAGTATTTAGTTCCAAAAGATTGTCAACCCTGTACTCTAACACACTTGAATTAGTTGTTTGTGTACACTAAATCCATTTATTTTAAATTTATTTTGTCTACATTTAGTGAAATAAAAACATCGCCCTGTACAATCCACCAGCAGCAGTGAGTACAACAGCAAAAATTATTATACAGTTTATACACACTAAAATCTTTTCCTTTTTCCTATAAAGAAACCAGAACAAACCTAATCAATATAGAGTTTAATTTAGAAGAACTCAAATTACAGAACGGAAAGCCAAAATTATTACGGTCTTTTCTGAGCCCCGAGAAGTTCCTGATTCATGATGTTGGAACAGTGAGTGCAGCTGGAAGAGTGAAACATGCTCAAGTTGTCTTCTTGGGTCTTCAAAAAATTACCAAGTATTTAAATTAAACATGGCTAGTTAAAGAAACATTTGAAGCAGAGCAATATAACTGGGAATTTTGCCTTACCAGTTGTGGTTTCTTTTAAACCCAACTTATACAATGCGCGAAGTGCTAAGCAACACTACAGAAACACATTTACATCAACACTGAAGACCTGGGGAAATGAAATTCAACAATTTTATTTTTTTTTATATGAGCTGTATTTTCTAAATTTGTTTTTATTTTTCTGTTTTCATACAGTATTGAAAACAAACGCGGCACATTCACATTTTCCCGAAGAATTGTAAGGATGATCTCTACAGGGATAACGTTGAAAAGCCTGAAGCTCAATCAATTGATGTTGAAAACTCTCAAAAGGAGTAAAAGGCTTGATCTGAACGGTCTAGAACATGTATTGTAATTTAATAGAAGAGATGGTCGTCTTAATATTAATGATTTAAAAGAACTTCCCAGTTCATGCGAGGAGTATAGTCCAAGAATAAATCAAATTTTCTGAACGCATTTTATGCTACGTAAGTGTATACTTTGCGATCCTCAGGTGTTCGTGCCAAATATTCTCTCTCAATAAGTCCTTCAATACGTTTTTTAATAACAACTGGACTTGGTAAGAATCGGGCCTTCAGCTGCTGAGTTACCTGAAACGTAAGATCAAAACCAACAGTGTAAGATCACAGGGCAAGGAAGATCATTAAGTATCATAGCTGACCAAAATAATCAGAAAAATGTCTTGAGACAGGGCTGGCTACAACCATCAAGCACAAGAAGCAGTCTGCAAACTTCTCACAGTTTTTCTCCTCATCAGTTGCTCACTCGTTTTGGGTACGATTCAAAGAACCGACCCTCTACAGAGACATGGTCACAACCTGAGAACCCTCTCAATTTTACAGCCCTAAGAGAGTTCAAGAGTGGAAACTGCATACTATTCCTGAAACTGTCAGGAGTTAAGAGCAGCAGGACTCTTCCTCTCTCTGCTAAGAGCTCAAACCTCTCAAACCTGGACCCAACAGTCAGTAACAAGATCAAAGTAGAAAATAATTAATAAGTACAGAAGTTTTTGTTGCCAACTGTTATTTCAAGGAATTTGGTAACATTACAAAACACTGAAAGGAGGAAGGAAAATTAGATATACCCATGAGTACATCCTAAACTGAAGGGTAAGGATTTAGATGTCTTCAGATAGACAGGGAAGGAAAAAAGGATGGATTAAATACAGCATCCCTCAAAAGTCTTTCAGAACCATGTTAGTGAGAGCAGTGTAGCTTTCATGAATTAATAGGAAAAGCAAAAAGCATTCCCAAGCCCATCTCAAAACTGTGTACAAGTATACCTCTGCTACTAGCACGTTGTGTTGCATCTTCTTCCTAGATTTCATTATCCGAACTATAGCAGCTTCTATCTCATGTTTCCTGTCATCATCTACTTTCTGCCTTGTTTCTTTCCTTTCTGGATCAGATTCTCCTTGTTTGGCAGCAACTTAAAGAAAAGAAAGAGAAAGTGTTAGCTTCACTGTTTATTTCACCTAGACATCAAGTTATATTTTCCTGAGTTTTTACATTCTCAAACCTAATTTTTTTATGAAAAGCAACCACAAGAACATATTAACACTTTCTGGCATATTTTGATAGCAACTGACAAGGTAACAATCTGTTATTTAATTATTGCTATGTTAAAATTTGAACAGTACTCAAACCTGCTTACACACACCACCAACCCTCACACTTCCATTAAATATTTCTCTTTAATATAGCAAATAATCCAGTATTTAAAATAGAAAAAGGATCAAAAATTTACTTCAAAAACTAGCTAAATACTTTAAAAGTTCATCAGTCAGAAAAAAATAGTCCAACGTTATTCTCTCCAGCTCAATTATATTCTTTGTATTCTGTACTCCTCTTCCATTTTTATTTCTGCACTTAAGTCTAGCTTTTCTTGCCCTTTCACCCAAGCATCATTATAACCAAGCCCTCCTCCCACACTGCTATACCACCTTCCCCCTGCCCTTCCTCACTCAGAAGCCCCAAGCATTTATCGGTTCTAAAGAGATATGCATAAGAAGTCTTCTGTGTAAGACAGAAACATAAACCCACGAGTATCAGATTTGCTCTAAAACCATCTTGAACCCCAAATCATGTTCCCTATTCACACGCACTTGTGGAGTAGAAATGAAAAAACAGAATGCCACTAAAGCTCAAACAGTTGTCACAGAATTCACTCTAATTATGCCAGGGAAGTGCCGGGGACCCTGATCAGAGGGTTCCCAATGTCCTGATTTGGCTGCTGTGCTCCTGCTCACCTCCAGCCATGGCCAACGTTGTTGACACCACAGCACTCTCCATGCGCATGAAGACAGCCTAGCTATTGCTTATGCAGAAGCACACGTGCAATGGATACAGGCAGGTATCACTGGGTTTTGCATGCTCACATCCCTGGACACAGCGTGCCGCACAGAAGCCCAACAAGTTATATTACGTGCAACAAACAGTATGTGAATTACCAGTGTTGCACTTAAAAGACTGCCAGTGATGCTGTATATTTTACATACTGAGATCTGCAAAGTCAGAAAATATTTTCAGATGTACTAAAACTAAGATCTAATCTTCCAAAACACTCTATGAAGTGTATCCACAGCAATGGTACAGCTTGGAAATTATTTCCAGAGAGCTTTCTAGACAGAAGGTATCAACATGACTTATATGTAACACAAACCAGCACTTTGAGCTAACGAAGTGGTATCATACTGATCAGCTTCCTATTTGTTAAACCCAAATCACTGCCCAAAAACATTATAGTTACCTAGCGCTTGGAAATGGCTGTTGTATCATGGGCTAAAAACATCACTCAATTTCACAGCAGTACAGCAATTTATGAGACAATTTTCCTATTTCTGAATCAATCAGTAGTATATTTTTAATTTTACTATTTAATTTGAATTTTCTCTCTTTCAACATTTCCTTTTAAGGGATAATTACAAATTTTGTAAAGCAAAAGGCTTAACTATGACTTCCATGCTTTTCTCAGTATTTAAATGTTAATTTTGATGCAACCAATCATCAACAAAAAACTGTATTACTCTCTTACTTGTATGGACATCAATCCTGCAAAAGATAATTTGACATTTGAAAGGCAGCTCTGGGACTGCAAGACAGTAGAATATTAAGCTCACTTACCCGTCTGAATCTTGACTCTGTGTAGTTTAGACGTGAACTGATCATTCACTGTAAATATATGACCATTTTCTATTTCTTTTGATTTAGGCTCTTTTGTAAGAACACGTTGTGTTGGTTTGCCACATGCAAGGGACTGTAGGGCTCTAACCAGTTCTCTTTCGGGGATATCAGTTTCTTGTTGAATTTCCTAAAGAAAAATATCTTTATTAGTGTAAGGCTAGGGCAGAAGTAAGCATCACATTTTGCAAACAGTAGCACTGCTTAAAATGTCCACCTTCAAGCGTGCAAAATACTACAACAGTTGTGAGGCTTGAAAAGTTAGAATTTATTCAGTAGCAAAGCCTCAATCTGTACTGTGCAAAACGATCCACCTGGGTCAATGCACAGATAGTGAACTCTGTCAAGTAAACAGTCACCACGAGCTGAAAACAGAAGAACGAATAACCGGCTGTTTCACTTCACTGGAATTTTTGAAAAGGCTGAAAAGATTCGTTCACGGTCTCCAACATTTGCTGAACAAAGTGAAACCAAACCTTCTAACTCACTCAGTGATGGAAAACATTCATGATGTTCCTGAGCATTCCTGACAAAGAACTGCATAAATGCTTTTGCATTCAGCAGCACCATTGAAAATAAGACCTTTACAAATGGAAGCAAACAAGGTCTAGTTTCACTGTAACATAGAATTACTCTAGATTAGTATTCTTAGCATAATGCATGCAAAAATATTCATAGTATTTGAAATAAGTCACATATATTCACATATTTTGACTATTTGCTAGTATTAAAATGCCTCTTCCCAAGGAGCTCACAGAAAGTTACTGTATCTTCATTTGTCACTTTACTTAAAACACAATTGCCACCTTCTCACATTTTTTCCAGATCCAGCACAAAGCAGTCTTAAAACAACCCAAAACCTCTATAAGCCTTTACATGGTCACGAACAAAGTCTTATTGAAATGGATTGATCAGCATAAATTTAACAAACCAAAGGAAGGTAACACTTAGATTTTAAGACTTAGATAAAGGTAAAGTCTCAAGGCTATAAACCAAATCCAGCTTATTAGTGACATAATGCCTATGACGTGCAGGGTCCCAAACTTTGATTTCTCATCGACACCTGAAATGAATCCTTTCAAAACTAAATCACTTCTACAAGGAAACATATATCCTCTGCTTTTGACGAAAGCGAAATGAAGAGCTAAAATGGAATTTGAGGGTTTTCTGATGCTAAACATCCTTACACTAACCACTAGGTATTTCTGTGTTGATTTTCCTTCACTCCGTAGCATTCCAATTCAGCCACTAACATATGCGAACCATTTGGGTTTCAGAATTTATAAGCTAGCATTAAAATAAGAACCACAGAAAGAATTGCACTGCAATATGCCGCCTCAGAAGGCAAAAACTTCAAGTTGGATAAAAAAATCGTAGCTATGAATGTAAATGGGGATAGCAGATGTTCCTGTGCTCTTTTTCCTTCAGACGGTAGCATATCATTTTTCTAAATGTATTTTTGTGTAGACATTTGATGTAACAATGAAAAACATGTATGTTTTCTCTCCATATCCAAAAAACCTTTTTTTAAAGATCACACTACAGTTGTCCACAAGACTGGTACCAATTACACAATCTTAGTTCTAAAAATATTACCAGATGAGCTCTATCTGGAGGCTACGAAAGAAATTATTCTAGGCATGGAACTGCCTCTGTTCAGTTCTATGCAAGAAAAAAGTTTATTCAAAGGAAAACATACAGACGGAAGTTAAAAGGAAAAACATGTCATTTTGCTAAAATGACAAAACAAAAATTTTTATTTTTATTTACAGATTTCAACTTGTGTATCTTCCAAAGCAGAGATCAGTAAGAGAAGACAGAGGAGCCAGGTTTAAGTTCTAATATCTCATTTTTGTGGAATTATTCAACTTTACTTCTACTACAGTCGCATTTGTATTTCTTGTTTGTTAACCCTAAAGAAAGAAACAAATATTTTCCTCTTAGTTTTGATATCATCATTAAAAAAATAATGCATTTCACCTTTTAAAATACTGAGAGGTACTGTAAACTAACAGAAAAATATGTTGAGTATTACATGAGACTTGATTAGAAGAAATTGACTTCTTTGAAAAAGTTAGCATTCTTGGATGGCTTGCATGAAGATCCTTGCTCTTAGATTCAAGTAGCAACAACCTAGACCTGTATCGCCACCAGTTCTTTTGCGTATATGAATAAAACTTTGCTGTATAAGAATTCAATAAATTCATATATTTTTGTGAAGGAATTTTGCTATGCAATAATGCTTTAATTTCTGTAGGATCTTATGCATGATTTTTGCATCATCATTATCCCATTTTTCTCTCAATCACATGGCTTAACGGCTATTAGGATTAGTGTGAGGATCTTGTCAAGTTTGCAATTACTCACACTGAATGCAAAACAAAACAGCAGAGTCTGTTCAACTGTGAAGGTAACTTCGAATTAATCTGTTCAGCTGCGAATCTACAGAAACGCTTGTATATCAGAGTTTTATGAGCACACACAAGTCATCTCTCATGCTATGTTGCAGTAAAAGCACTAATTTGATGACAGGGAAATAACAGTTGCCCAGCACTTAGCAACTAATCATGGTGTTCAAAAATCAATGAACAGAGATAAAATTAATTCTGTTAAGTTTTCATAAGCTTTTCTGGCTTTGAGTTACAGACAACTCCCACACACTTCACCATAGAAACCAAACCAAACAAATATGTCTTTTTAATGTTTTAGTTACAATGGGACACAAAGCAAGAGTTTAAGAACTCCCAAACCAGAAATAAACAGAACATACACAACCTAAGAGCACATGGACATGTTTCTCTATCATCTGGTCTTAGTAAAATAAACTATAATTTAGAGCACATTAAAAATCCTATTTTTCACTGCACTACCAAGCATTATTTATTCATATATGGGTTAGGCTCTACTACTCATAAAGCCTGCAGTTTTGTGGAATAAGGTAGCCAACAGCCCGATTTTACCACCAACTTCAAGACAAAATGAACTGTTAAGTCCCTCTCTTCCCCCCGCTTCTCAAGTACTCTGCAGAGAAAGTACTCAAAGCTGTAATGCTCCTGCAATAGATTTCACAATATACAGGACTTTCTGTACTCTAAAATAATCTTTTTGTGAACTATGAGCAGTTTATTAAGAGCCTCTTATCAAACCCTGCCTTCCTTAATCCCAACTGAGACTATTTCAAAGAATCATTCTTTATTAACAGGCTACAAGTATGCCAAATAAGCTGAAAACAAAATCCAAATAAAAAGGCAAATGATTACTACGCATAGCACAGTCAAAAGTAGAAGAGAAAACCTGGAAATCCACTCTGTTTCAAGCTGTACCCATACTGCTTTTCAAGGCTGCCAAAGCGCTCTCAAACAGAAGATAACATCTAAACCGAAACTATTAATTGACATTAACAATACAACGCTCAAATCTCATAGCACAGCATCCTCCCTCCACTCCCAAAAGTTTCTTCATCATTGTCTATGAACTGACCCCTTCAACCTCTCCCAGCAATGCCCCTCTAGTGTCCTTGTTAAGAATCTACGTGGACTTTCTTCATTGTCTCTTCTGGTTTGCCAGCTCAGAGAGGGGATGAAAGTTCTTTGATTCATCCTACAGTTCACTCCAGCCTGCCAATTTAAGCACTTCAGTGTTTAAGAAGCCAGGATATAAATGCTTCTCCACCCTTCAGCCTCTAAAGCCAGTTTCTCAAAGATAAAATGAACAAATGGAGCCACCTGCTGCATTCCAACTTCAGCTTTTCTATAACTCTATGGCCTAGGAATAACCACACTCAAAACACTTCAACATTTCTGAAAACTGTTTCCAAATAATTTCATCCTTTAGGATTGCTTCCCAGGTGCATTGCTAATTATCTGCTTCCTGTATTTATCAGCCTGATCCACACTCAAATAGAATGACAAGCACCTGATCTTCAAAAGGTCTATTCAAGAGGATAAGAAAGTGCCTAAACCAGTTATTTAAAATCAGGTGAGAAAAGCACAACACTTACCTCAAACGTATACTTTTCTCTGTTGTTAAAGAGCATTAATATCGTCATCTGGAAAGTGGAAACTTGCAATATGTGCTTCCGTGTATTTGAGCCAGTTACTTGAGCACCTCCTACGCCAACCTCTGAGCCATCTTCCTATTTTAAAATTACAAAACTACTATTAGATTGTTCTTCACTGCAAAATATTTTACCTTGTTAAGATGAAAGTTATACGATGGAATAATTATCTAGGAGATCAATCTACACAAAGTGACAGAATAGCATACAACTGGACGCATAAATACAGTGTCTCTCCAATAGCTGTCTTGGAATCACAGGGTGACTGAGGTTGGAGGCACCGCTGTAGGTCCCACAGTCCAGCCACCACTGAAAGCCAGGTCATCTAGAGCAGGATGTTCAGGGCTGTGTCCAGGCAAGTATCAAGCATCTCCAAGGGTGGAGACTCCACAGCTTCTCTGGCCCCTGTTCCACTACTGTCCCATCCTCCAGTTTTCTTACTCTTATCTTTAGAATTATCAGTAATACAATTTCAACATTCTCACAAACACATATTACTAATATTTTTGTGTCATAAAAATTTTGGTTTGCATTGCCTTCTATGTTCCCAAGCACTATATCATTATTACCTCTAGCTTAGCATTCTACAACTGATCTAAATCACTAGCAAATTATTTTCTTGTATACATAAACATTAAGCAGTGCACTTCTATAAACGCTGAGATTCTCATGTTTGAAAAAATGTTGTGTACATTGCTAGCACTCTGCGTATGAAAAGCAGGCTGAACTTGGCTTAACAACACTTCTTCACATTAACAAAAATTACTCTAAAGAGAAATAAGTTTCATTTGACTTTTGACCGATTCACAGTCAAAAAAAACAACCCAAAACACTCAAACCATAGAGGTCCCTTCGAGATCAAAATTACTACTTTTTTACAAGGTATTAAAGAGATGATGCTGAATGATACATTCAAATTAGATTTAGAGAGGAAAAAAGTCAAAACAAAACTGCTACAAAAGAAGAATCAGACTGTAAAGTCAGTAGAAGGCATCTTTTTCTTATTCCTAAGTTATCAATGAGTAAACTTTTATTCTACAAAAATCTTAAATTATTAGAAATGAGCATTTGCTTGCTTTTAAAAAAAGATACAGTATTTTCATAATCTTGATACTTTACCTTTTTAACAGGCCCGTAGAAAGTGGCATTGAGATCTGCAGAACCCATATGATGCTGGAGTGTCAGCTGTCGCCCGCTATGTTTGGCTAAATAAAACCTGTAATATAATTGAATCAAAAACTTAATACATAGTTCACATTTTGTATCTAAGAGGAAACTTGCTTTACCGAATCACAGAATGGTTTGGGTTGGAAGGGACCTTAAAGATCATGTAGCTCAAACCCCATTGCCACGGGCAGGGGACACCTACCACTACACCAGGTTGCTCAAAGCCCCATCCAACCTGGCCAGGGATGGGGCATCCACACTTCCAGGGATGGGGCATCCACAGCTTCTCTGGGCAACCTCTTCCAGTGTTTCACCACCCTCAGAGTGAAGAATTTCTTCCTTAGATCTAATCAAAATCCACTCTGTTCCAGTTTAAAGCCATTGCCCTTTGTCTTATCACTACACGCCCTTGCAAAAATCCCTCTTTCTTGCAGGCCCCCTTTAGGCACTGAAAGGCTGCTAGAAGGTCTCCCAGGAGCCTTCTCCAGGCTGAACAATCTCAACTGTCTCAGCCTGTCTTCACAGGAGAGGGGCTCCAGCCCTCAGATCATTTTCATGGCCCTCCTCTGGACTCGTTCCAACAGCTCCATGTCCTTATGTTGGGGGCCCCAGAGCTGAACACAGTACTGCAGGGGAGGTCTCATGAGAGCTGAGTAGAGGGGCAGAATCACCTCCCTCAACCTGCTGGCCACACTTCTTTAGATGCAGCCCAGGATATGGTTGGCCGCCTGGGCTGCAAGCGCACATTGCTGGCTCATGTTGAGCTTCTCATCAACCAACACTCTAAGTCTTTCTCCTCAGGGCTGCTCTCAATCCATTCTCCACCCAGCCTGTGCTTATGCTTCAGACTGCCCTGACCCATGTGTAGGACCCTGCACTTGGCCTTGTTGAACTTCATGAGGTTCACACAGGCCAACCTCTCCAGCGTGTCAAGGTCCCTCTGGATGGCATCCTTTGTGTGTGACACACATCCAGTGTGTCAACTGCACCCACAGCTTGCTGTCATCAGCAAACTTGCTGAGGGTGCACCCAATCCCATTGTCCATGTTGCCAATAAAGATGTTAAACAGCCCTGGGCCCGATACCAGGGGAACCTGAGGAACTCCACTTGTCACTGGTCTCCACTTGGACATTGAGTCATTGACCACAATTCTTTGAGCACAACCAGCCAATTCCTTATCTAGCAAGTGGTACATCCATCAAATCCCTCTCTCTCCAATTTAGAGACAAGGATGTCGTGCAAGACAGTGTCAAATGCTTTGCACAAGTCCAGGTAGATGATGTCAGTTGCTCTTCCTTTATCCACCAACACTGTAACACCGCTGTAGAAGGTCATCAAATGCATCAGATATGATTTGCCCTTGGTGAACCCATGTTGGCTGTCACAAATCACCTCATTTATTTCCATGTGCCTTAACATAGTTTCCAGGAGCATCTGCTCCATGATCTTGCCAGGCAAGAGGTGACAGACACCTCTCAGAGGTGAGACCGCCTGGCCTGTAGTTCCCTAGGTCTTAATTTTTTCTCTTTTTAAAAATGGGGGTTATTTTTTTTCTCCATCTTTTCCAGTCGGTGGGAACTTCACCAGGCTGCCACAACTTCTCAAATATGATGGATAATGGTTTAGCAACTTCATCTGCTAGTTTCCTCAGGACCCACAGATGCATATCATCAGGTCTCAGACTTGTGCACTTTCAGGTTCCTCAGATGGTCTTGAACCTCATCTTCTACAGTAGGTGGTTCTTCATTCTCCCAGTCCCTGCCTTTGCCTTCTGTGACTTGGGCAGTGCTGCTAGAGCATTTGCCAGTGAGGACTAAGGCAAAAAAAGTCAGAGTACCTCAGCCTTCTCCATATCCTCGGTAACCAGCTCTTCTGCTTCCTTCTGGAGAGGGCCTACATTCTCCCTAGTCCTCCTTTTACCACTGACATACCTATAGAAGCTTTTCTTGTTGCCCTTGATGTCCCTGGCCAGATTTAACTCTATCAGGGCTTGAGCTTTCCTAACCTGATCCCCGGTTGCTCAGACAATTTCTCTGTATTCTTCCCAGGCTACCTGCCTTGCTTTCACCCTCTGTAGGCTTCCTTTTTGTGCCTGGGCTTGTCCAGGAGCTCCTTGTTCATCCATGCAGGCCTCCTGGTGTTTCTGCCTGATTTCTTCTTTACTGGGATGCACTGCTCCTGAGCTTGGAGGAGGCATCCTTGAATATTAACTAGCTTTCTTGGGCCCCTCTTCCCCCCAGGGTTTCATCCGATGGTACTATACCAAGCATATCCCTGAGGCCAAACTCTGCTCTCCTGAAGTCCAGGGTAGTGAGCTCGCTGTGCACCTCTAAGGATCTTGAACTCCACCATTTCATGGTCACTACAGCCAAGGCTGCCCTTAAACTTCACATTCCCCATCAGCCTCTCCTTGTTGGTGAGAACAAGGTCTAGCATAGCACCTTTCCTCGTTGGTTCCTCTATCATGAACGCATTCCAGAAACCTTCTGGATTGCTTATGCCCTGCTGTGTTGTCCCTCCAACAGGTGGTTGAAGTCTCCCATGAGGATCAGGGCTTGTGAACATGAGGCTGCTCCTGTCTGTCTATAGAGGGCCTCATCTGCTCGGTCTTCCTGGTCAGGTGGCCTGTAGCAGACTCCCACTATGCCACCTGTCCCTGTCCTCCCTTTAATCCTGACCCATAAGCTCTCAGTCAGCTCTTCATCCATCCCAGGCAGAGCTCCATGCACTCCAGCTGGTCATTAACACAGAGGGCAACACAAACAGTTACATAGACTTTTCATAGCCATTAAGGGCACCAAGAAGTTTTTAACTTTTGCTTTTTCAAAACATTAACTCTCATTAGAATTCTAATTAAAAGCTCCCAAAAACTCAAGCCTCATAATGTCACCATTGCATTCTCTAATTTTTTGTGTGAACTGAAAAAGGGCAGTATGCTAGCATGTCTTTATCTCTAACAGTAAAACGTATTTGTAAGTTAAGTTTAGAAAGTTTCTTCTTAAAACCTCTATCTAAAAATCTGTTTTAATACATACCTTCTAAATATTTCAAAAGCGTGTCTAGGGGCTGGAGGGATGTTGCACTTTGGTGTGGCTGACTGAGTAGGCCAGTAACCTGTTGTGAGGACCCGCACTGTAAGATCAACACCACCTAATGAGACCTAAGGACAATTGGAAGAAAAAATCCACGATTTTAAAACAGGATCAGGTTTCACCATTTTTCTGTATCAGTGTAGAATGCACAGAATTTTCACAGGCTAAGAAAAAAACAGACAAACATTATTTTTGCCAAGCCAGACAAATGAATCCATTACTATCAGAGTAGATGGTACGGCAAAAATCCTCCACATTATGCCCCTCAGGCATTTAAGAGTGTACAGAATTTAACAATTATTAATTAAGAATGAAATGTCTGTGACCATAACCAGAACTCATAATACATATTGATGTAACAATTCTTTCTAAACAGGTTTTTGACAACATATAATAAAGGCAGGTTGCTAAACATATCAGTTTCAAAATAACGCTTTATAAATTTACTCTCCGAAAGCAGAGAATAAATACTGAATATCTAATGTTAAACCATAGCGAGCTTTTTCCTGCAATTTATCTCTGGACTGCAATGTCAACTGTTACTCACTTTTACACACACAACCTAGCCACTTTTCCTTAAGATGGCCATTGCCATAAATACTCAGCGCTGGTAGGAAACATTCTACAACTGAAGTGCTGATCTATAAAGTAGTTCTGTTAGTAGGTGATAAACATCTGGCTACCAGTGAGGCATAATCCTCACTCGGTATCTCGACTAAGCTGAATATTATTAAACCTAAAACTGACTACTTTCAGCTCCAGGAGGTACAACTAATACCTTCAAAGAATACACATTATGGATAAGAAAAACCAAAGCATGATACACCCAACTTGTTATAAGCCTACTACATAGAAATTGAGCACATTATATTTTAGAAGGTCAAAAACTGTCACATGTACTCAGAAATTTCCACTATTAAATAGCAGAGTAGCATTTTCATGCACTATGGAAGAGTTTTTGTATTGTGCACGTTGAGCGCCTGTGTGCATCAACAAACTTGTGCCTAGGAAACTTCTGAAAAATCTAGACAGACTGGTGACAGGCTACTCATACAGAAATCCCTTTGATTTAATTTCATTAAGGTTTAAAAGGAACAATTTGCAAAAGTATGCAAACGCCCATATAAAGGTTGTTCTGTAGTCAACATTACTGCCATGCTTCTAATTTCTTATCATCAACATCATGAGGCTCATAAGAGAAATTCGAACAGGCATTTAGACACAGAAAACTAATTTATCTGTGAATCATCTTAAAAAAAAAAGCTTCAACAGTTTTCTCTCTCCAGCCAAAATGTAGGGAAAGGCCATTGATGCAGACAGAAAGATACAGAAAATATCTTCATCAGGAACTGAAACATCTTCGTTGAGACGGCAACAGTTTCCTAAACGTTTTTGTCTTAGCCAGACCAGAACGCAGCTCTAATTTAGAATGCCTTTCATCATACATTATACACAGCAATGAGCAGTCTGTGACTTGAAAAAGCTTCGGAAGCACTTTATTTTTACAAGACGTCTTTTCAGCATAAAAATGGTATGAACTAATGCAAAGTGCCTTGAAGTGATCTAGTCTTTACGAAACTCCAGGCTGAAGTTTCAGGACTGTAGTTGTAGAAATTACTCATAATTTATTATCTTGGACTTTCCCTAGTGCTGAGCTTTCCACTTACTAATAGCAAACCAATCATCATCTACCAAAAATCATACAATGGTTAGGGTTGGAAGGGACCTTAAAGATCATCTAGTTCCAACCCCCCTGCCATGGGCAGAGAAATCCTCCATTACACCAGGTTGCCCAAAGCCTCATCCAACCTGGCCTTGAACACCTCCAGGGATGGGGCAGCCACAACTTCTCTGGGCAACCTGTTCCACTGCCTCACCACCCTCAATGTAAAAAATTTCTTCCTTATACCTAATCGAAATCTGCCCTCTTGCAGTTTAAATCCATTGCCCCTTGTCCTATCACTACACGCCCTTGTAAAAAGTCCCTCTCCAGCTTTCCTCTGGACTCGTTCCAGTAGCTCCATGTCCTTCTTATGTTGGGGACTCCAGAGCTGAACACAGTATTCCAGGTGGGGTCTCACGAGAGCTGAGTAGAGGGGCAGAATCACTTCCCTCAACCTGCTGGCCACACTTCTTTTGATACAGCCCAGGATACAATTTGCTTTCTGGGCTGCCAGTGCACATTGCCAGCTCATGTTGAGCTTCTCATCCACCAGCACTCCCAAGTCCTTTTCCTCAGGGCTGCTCTCAATCTATTCTCCACGCAGACTGTACTTGTGCTTGGGATTGCCCCGACCCACGTGCAGGACCTTGCACTTGGCCTTGTTGAACTTCATGAGGTTCTCACAGGCCCACCTCTCCAGCCTGTCAAGGTCCCTCTGGATGACATCCCTTCCCTCCAGCGTGTCCACAACACCACACAACTTGGTGTCATCTGCAAACTTGCTGAGGGCACACTCGATCCCACTGTCCATGTCTCCAATAAAGATGTTAAATAGCACTGGCCCCAGTACTGACCCCTGAGGAACAACACCCGTCACAGGCCTCCACGTGGACATTGACCGTTGACCACAACTGTTTGAGTGCGACCATCCAGCCAATTCCTTATCCACCGAGTGGTCCATCCATCAAAACCATGTCTTTCCAGTTTAGAGACAAGGATGTCATGTGGGACAGTATCAAATGCTTTGGATAAGTCCAGGTAGATGATGTCAGTTGCTCCTTCCCTATCCATCAATGCTGTAACTTCATCACAGAAGGCCACCAAATTAGTCAGGCAGGATTTGCCCTTAGTGAAGCCATGTTGGCTGTCACCAATCACCTCCTTATTTTCTATGTGCCTTAGCATAGTTGTCAGCAGAATCTGCTCCATGATCTTGCTGGGCACAGAGGTGAGTGACTGGCCTGTAGTTCCCTGGGTCGTCCTTTTTGCCCTTTTTAAAGATGGGGGACTACGTTTCCCCTTTTCCAGTCATTGGGAACTTCACCAGATTGCCACGACTTCTGAAATATGATGGATAGTGGCTTAGCAACTTGGCACTACCTATATCTCAGGCTACAGGATCCAGTAAGAGACTTTGCAGGTAAGATTACTTAGAGAAAAGCAGATGCCTGCCTCCTCTAGGAAGCACCATACATATTTAAGGTTCGCAAATTGTTTAAAAAGGAGTAGAATGGACTATTTCATATAAACCACAATATCACCAGCAAGTTAACAGTAACATAAAACCCGAAAAATCTTCCTGTTTGCATTTCTTCTCAAATATTATTAACACTAATAGAAACATATAGACTTCCATCATAAATGAGTACTCTAGAAATTTCATTAAAAGGTCATCACTGGGCTTACCAAAAGGGAATCATCAGGCAAACTGATGGTCCCATGACAAGAAAAAGATTTCAAGACAAGAAAAAAGTTTCAAGCAAGGCCTAGCAGAGTATCTGTTAACATTTAAATTCATCTTATTAGCTGTCCTGACAGCAAAGATTTCAGATTACCTTGCACAACCAGGGACATCGGACAGAGTACATCCATGAACATATTCCTGGCATTCAGATTTCTGAAATTGATTCAAACATGCTTGATATACAGACTTACTTGCCCGCAGACAGGGAACTACTTGGCTGTTTATCATATATTAAGAGCTACTGAGTATCAGTATAGAAAAAAAGTGTTTAGAGCAAGTAAACCATTTTCTCAAAAAAGCGATCTCTCCATTATGCCATATTCCAGAGGTCTCCGTTTACAAGAAGTAACACTTCTTAGTTGAACAATTAAGTCCATATTTGGCAATTTCAATAAAATCACACTTCTGCTTTTAATAAAGGCATTAACAGCATCAGGAAAGTTAAGTATACGATGATATGTTTGTCAAATACCTGCAGCAGGCAACATTTTTCTTGCTGTTAGCAGAAAATACCGGTCGCAACAAAGATTATCTTTGAAGAATGAGAAAGGGAAGACTGTGCTGGTGACAAGGCGTTTCCGAAACGCACACGGGAGCGGGCAGCTGGCCCCGGCAGCACTGGCCCGGCTG